TCAACTTATTTGTCAATAATTTACCTCGTTTTAGAAATTGTACATACGTAGAGCATGCTCTTGCGTATCGAATCAACTGAGAGATATATACCCCGTATGCAGGTGATGAAGGTATATTGCTGCATAAGTAAGGGAAGTTGACGATTGAAAAGTTAAAGTCATCACGTTTATCATAAAGCTTGGTTGTTAGATTACCATTAACGTCTTTTTCAAGTAAAATATCCAAATATGAAACAGATGTGTCAGACTCTGTGGTATCTTTTATCTCAAGTTCACAAGGATATATCGTATCGACATAAGAATGGAAATAGCCATTGTTAATTGACAATACGTCGTCGATATATCTAAATGTCGAGTTGAAGGCCACAGCAAGTGAATGAAGGAATACATATGCTACATGTACTTTGACGGTCACCTTAGTATTTTGGGTTTCTCATGCCATGAGCAATTGGGCCAATGTGGAACTGGTCTGGATTTTCCATAACATGGGGGAATTTTGTGCATATGTATTTAAACGCAAACACAAATGCAAAGGAATTGGCAGAAATAAAATTCAGCAAATAAATTGGTTTGAAAATAAATTTGGTGCAAGTTTTGTTTTTGATCCTAACCCAGGTTTTTGTCCATGAAGTGTGCACACATTAGTTTCATTTTCACGTAAACTGTTTGTCATTTTCCCGAAATATTGCAGTAATATGGACAAAGGTTAAAATGTTTGTGATAGGGTGAGAACTCATTATAATCATGCAAACAGTTAGCCTGCTACATGTCCATGAGTGCATTTCCACTTTCTGACAAACTATATCCCCATCCTCATCCTGTAGTCTAAGCCCTGAAGAGCCATGATTTCACAATTTTGCTAGGGGACCCACTGCTTCTTTGTATTTATGCTTACAGTTTGTTTGCTTAAAGTCCAGGATAAAGAAAAAAAGAATTTTTAAAGATTGCAGTAAGTTTGATGTTTTTGGTCTAGTCCTTTAAATTCCAGTGAGGGGAGACAATAACATTCAAAAATTATTCCTCTTTATTTGTAGATGCTATGTACAGAAAAAGGTTGTAATTGATTGAGAGGTTTAGAAAAAAAATTGAAAATGTTCAAAAGCTCAAGACCAATGAACGAGGGATGACGCAAGAGGACAGAAAAAACAAAAGGCAAAGCCTTCTGAGTGACTTGGGTTACCAAACAACCAAAACTATATTCACTGTGGTTTAAATGTGGTTTATCTGTTATCTAAAGATAACGAAGAGGAATCATAATCAAAAGTCCAAACAAACGATATAATTTTAGACAAGAGAACACCCAGAGGTCGGATCAGGTGCTCTGGAGGAGTAAGCATCCTCTGTCGATCGGTCACACTCGCAGTGAACCTTTTGCCTTGACTGGTTAAACGGATAATTCCGTAGTCAGTACAGTACAGTATGTTAATAGCTACCAAAGCATTTGTATCAAAATCGTCAGTCAACATCCGACCTAATGACAGGTTGTATTTACAAGCAAGGTCCTAATAAAATCCCTTGAATTTGCAAAGGTTTACTTGATACCCTTGTACGATAGGCTTATTTGTCAGTAGTCTGCCTCGATTTAGAAATTATTCATACGAAAAACATGCTCTTGCGCATCAACTGGCAATCATAAACACCATACACAGTTGACAATGGGATATTGATACATAAATAAGAGAAGTTGACGATAGAATGGTTAAAGTCGTCATGTTTATTGTAAAGTGTACTCTTTAGTTTCACATCATTGTCTTTCTCTAGTAAAGAGAATGATCTGAAACTGGCAAACTAGTGCTAGTAATACATCCAAGTATGAAACAGATGTCACACACTCTGTGTGTCTTTCATTTCGAGCTTAGTTGGATATATCAATTCAAGATATGAAGGAGTTATGGAGGTGTACTGAAAGGGAAAAGTATTTTAAATTTTGCATTAATATTTGTTTGTAATAAAAGTGGCAACATTGTTGCAAAAATTGAAAATTAATAATATATCTCAGTTTAGTCTACTTGTCTATCGAGTTTTATTATTCTTCAACAGTTAAATTATTTTATTTAATTATTACTTGACCAAAAATGATATTTTCACACATAATCCTATCAGACGTGATAATTTTCTTTGTGATAATATTAAAAGTGAAATTAAAATTTTGACTGAGAAAATATAAAGGTAGCGGAAACACTCTCTATTCTAATTTCCTTCCAAAAAAGTGCACGTGTTTGTAGCTTTAAGTAACCATTCACTTCTGAAACTAAAAGCTTTTCAGTTGTATAGAAGTGGAAATAAGGTAGGGGTAAACGTAGAATATGATCCATACCTCCCAATCGTCAATGTTAATATGGCAAATCCAAATCCACTTTTAGGACTGGACTGTATTTTAAAAAAAGGATCAAATGAACAGTATATACAACGCAAATACACTTGTTTGCACCTCGGACATTTTTTATCATTTGATAAAGTCAATCTACTTATGTGCTTGGAGATAAATTATTGATCTAAGAGCCGAAAATTGGACTATAAACTGATATATTGTACATTAAACACTATGCTGAAAAGCAAATGGTATATTAGTTTATGAAATTGATTTTTTTTTTCATTTGCTCCAATAAAGTTGTTACACTAAGTCTTGTTACCAATGAGAATACATATATTATTTGAAATACGTGGGATGAGATTGGTACTTGGTTCCTGTGATATAAAAAAAACATCTCCTCCTCAACAAAGATTTGATATTTTAAATCATTTTTACGAGTTGATGGTATCAACTAATGTTATGTGACTTGTAAGGGATTCCCCAATGTATCGAAACTAAAGTCTGTCCCACGGTACCAAGGACCTCACTTTTCGCCTCATATCTCAAAATGTATAAATACCTTGGCCTTCAAGCTAGGTTCGATCGATAGATCATTTTTTTCCCCAAACTTCCTGCATTTATCCGAACCCTCGAGTTCAACCGGTGTATTGACACGGCGGCAAATTCAAAGTCTACGGGGATTTAACATTGCCAAAATGGCCACCACTTCGGAAGGGGATCCATCATTGTTCGTGATTTTCCGTACATCGCCGTCATTGACGTAATGACGTAAGACACGTTCGGGAATGCTCTGTGCTTATTGATGTACGGAACGGAATACAGCCCGAGACTTTCCAAGTGCCCAATAAACACATATTTATCTGCGAAAAAATTGAAAAACAGCGTCTTCGACGTATCCGGGAACAAGTGCTTAACACTACTAAGAAAACAGGTAAGATTCAACTCATATCTACTTCAGAAGTCATAACTGGCAAAAGTAATCTGTAATGGAAAGAACGATCGAGGCTACAACAAAATTCAACCAAGTGACATCATTGCTTTTACCAACGCATAGCATGATAGATCTATCTGTAAGCGAGTATTATTATGTTCTAATAATTTAGATTTGTAATTAATTACAACTGCTACTTTACCTTTTACCTCGCAAATAAATCCAACACACTAAACAGTATACTCTAGTAGTTTGTTGTAAACACGATTAAACAGTTTGTGAAACATCACTTCTATCATGAATTCACAATGCTTCCTGGCTTTGTTACATTTATAACTCTTAAGCACATACAAATCCATGTTTATACATTTTGAATCACTGTGCAAAACAAGATCTAGGCTTACATGTTGTCTGCATCAAACTACGTCATCAATGGATTTTGACCTTGCCCTTTGAAAACTTCCTGTATCGGCATTAGGTAAATGCAGGCCCTGAGACGTCAAACAATTATGTATTTTTAATAGTTTCTCCATATATGTAGCAGTTTTAATGCCAAAAATAAAATACGAAGATAGTAATTACACAAACCCCAGAACATGAATGGAATATATTATTTATTTTTTTTAATTTATTAAAATTTATTTGTGTACTTTATTTTTTTTAATAAAAAAACTTTTGTGGCATAAATATCAATTATTTTAAAAATCAATAAAACTTATGAGACCAGGCCCCAGGATCATGAAACAGTCTTAAACTTAAGTCACATTTTCAGTCGGTTGTAAAATGTTTATTTATTATTGAATTAATATCTAAATTTGCAGAAAACTACACTTTTGTGAAGCAATATTAAAAAATATTCTATTTTTTGGTCTGCCTGACTTCTACAACATTTTAGTATAAAATAAAGATTTTGACTTAATCTCAAGATGTTTCATGATCCTTGGGTCTGGATTTTAAATTTTAATGTGAAAAAATTCTACATTTGCAAAAAATGTAAGTCAAAGTCCTCTCATTATTTTTTGTTAATTATAATAACAATGAAATGTAAAATAAAAACAATAGATAAAGCTAAATTAAACATTTTAATTTTGAAACAAGAATTTAATTATTAGGAAAGAGAACATGAATACATATCAGACAGAAAAGAGCATGCAAACATGTACATTATATTAATTCAATCTTAAGTAGATGCAGAAATGTGTATGTAGCTTTAAAGGGGGGATTTGTCTTCAGTCATCTGTGAAATCATTTTAAATTTAATTTATGGGTTCAAGCTCATGGGAAGTAATTTAAGGAGGGGGGGGGCAATCAAACATTTTCAGTTCAAGCTTGACAAGCCAAAAAAAGAGATCATCATAGTGTTTATATTTATCATGTTAATTAGTCAAACTTTGTTGTCAAACCTCATCCTACGATGGGACTGATAAAAACTTCTGAGATATCCGAGTTTTCAAGATATCAAGTATAAAATATCGTACTTCAAGAATATTCAAGTGGTTGAGACTTCCAAATCACTTTGATATGAGATATCAGTGTTCAAGACACCAAGTTTCATAATTTACAACTTCTGCTTTGCAAATTAAATTCATACTCTGAAAATTGTTACAAGACTTGAATTACAAGTTGTAAAAATATCAAATCTCACATTATTTAAATCTTAAATTAGTGAAATTAGAGGGTAAAACCACTCAACATACTATGTTATTTGTAATTTTGTTTGAACTATTTTCAGCATTTTAAGTAAATTTGAAAATATTCCAAGTCTATCCTATATTTATTAAGATTATCTTACAGATATTCAGACTGAAGAAGAAATGAAAGTAAAATGCTCAGTGCTGCAGGTGTCCATGGTTTGAATGTCAATTGGTACAAACTTTAAAGAAAAGTTATGAATCATATTGGACATAGCAAACATGAAGCCGGGGAGAGAAACAACATCTATGAATGGATTAGAAAGTGAGTATTTTTCTCTCCATTATATCACTAACACTTCAATTTGTGTCTGGCTCATCAAGTGATCACTATTGGGCAAACTTTCAGGTAATCTTTGGTTTAGACTTTTCTTTGGGCCTGAAAAAGATAACAATAATACATATATTAACTGTCATGAAGATTCTGGTAAATAAACAAGAGGCCCAGGGGCCACATCGGTCACCTGAGCACTATGGCTAGGAAAAAGCAGAAATCAGTTCAGTCTTGAAAGGTTGAAAAGTTTAAATATAAAAGTGGTTCGGGGGGGGGGGGGCATGAATTGAACAAACTTGAATCTACATTACCTGACGATGCTTCCATTTAAATATGACCAATCATGGCTTTGCGGTTCTTTAGTAGAAGATTTTTAAAGATTTTTCCTTTGTATTCCTATGTAAAACTTTGATCACCCATTGTGGCCCCACCCTACCCCCAGGGGTCATAATTTGAACAAACTTGAATCTACACTATCTAAGAATGCTTTCATATAAATTTGACCAATCATGGCTTTGCTGTTCTTAAAAAATAGGGTTTTTTAAAAGATTTTTACTAATATGTATTCCTATGTAAAACTTTGATCGCCCATTGTGGCCCCACCCGACCCCCGGGGGTCATGATTTGAACAAACTTGAATCTACACTACCTGAGGATGCATGCTTCCATGTAAATATGACCAATCATGGCTTTGCTGTTCTTGAGAAGAAGATTTTTAAAGATTTTTCCTATATACTCCTATGTAAAACTTTGATCGCCCACTGTGGCCCCACCAGACCCCCGGGGGTCATGACTTGAACAAACTTGAATCTACACTACCTGAGGATGCTTCCACATAAGTTTCATATTTTCAAGCACAGTGGTTCTTGAGAAGAAGATTTTTTAATCATGCCATTAATTTTTCACGAATTCATAATTATCTCTCCTTGGAAGAAGGCGTTACCCTTCATTTGAACGAACTTGAATCCCCTTTACCCAAGGATACTTTGTGGCAAGTTTACATGAATGATGAAAATTTTGCACATATATGAATTTTTGGATTGATTTTCTTTTTGCACATAAATTTGGGTGTTTGAACAAAATGGGTCTACTATGGGGGATGTAAGTAATAAAATTAATAACTTTAAAAAAAAAAATCTACATGTAAAAGAAATTATAAAAGATGATTTTTTTTTTTTTTTTACAATACTTGTTTAAGTAAATAGAAGTCTGGAGGGTTGTATGTCGGGTAAACTTACATTATATTTTGACAATAAAAAATTTCTTGAAATAAAAAAGTCATTTTTTGAAAAGTTATAACACTAGAAAAATTATTATACATTAAATTAAACATATGAAATCACAGAATTGAAAGTGAATTACATGTACAGTATATATAAAATTGTCAACACTGAGAGACAAAAAAAATCACACATGAGAGAATTTGAATAATGTGAGACATGAATTGTGTTAAAGATTCATTCACTGACTGATTGTCCTTTATGTAAAAGATACAGGATATTTTGAGGATATTGGACATTAATAATAATAACAAAGTTTATCAAATAGTGGGGAAAAATTCTGTGGATTATGTCAAATAAAGATAAATAAATGCATTGTTCATTTAGCTCGGAAATTTTTTACCCGACATTTTTAAATGAGAAATAGGGCCTACTGCATTCAGTTCATTTAATGTAAAACCATAAGCAACACCCCCCCCCCCCCAAAAAAAAAAATATTAAAAAATGTAGAACAGTAGGTGTAAAACATATAATGTGAATCTCTGATATATGTAATTAATGTTTCAAAATTATATTTTTAGCATGTCTTAAATATAATATAATACAAATAATTGATATTTACCATATGCACTTGTACCTAGGTGAAATATTACATCTTTTGATTTTCATGCAATTTTATCAATGCAAGTATTTTAGTGGATAATTATGTTGATTTTCTTCCATCATATTTTCTTGGGCAAAGCACGCAGTAGATAAGTAACCCTTTAAATATAGTTAAATCTGGACTGCATCCATTTTTTTATAATCACATTTTCATATGAGTATTTTGCGTATGGGTTCTTTTATAATATCGGTTTATTTACAATTTTCATAATCTACAGAACAAGAATATGTTTCCTGATATGCTTTGAAGTGTTTATAAACATAAATATTTATTCATTTTATTGGAATTTGTGTCTATCCGCGAGAGAAAATAGTGTTCGGGACATGCGGTCAACAAAAGTGACATGTCGTGCAAACAAAGTTTTGATTTATAAATAAATAAAAGTTTTTCTATAATACGAAGTATTTCTAAAACTGTTTTTTAAAGAAAATTCACAAAATTGAACATTGTACAAACGAGGTTATTTTTACAAGATTGACGTGCTGGTAGTATATAAATAAACTAATTCTTGCGCTGTTATGCTAATGAACAGAGAAGTTTTCTCGCGTTAGTGATGAATCGTTCAACACAGAGATCACTGCCTATGTTAGTAAACAAAGCGAGAAGTTTGCAGTAAAGAAGGTCGAAGCAAATCAATTACTTATCTCAAACGGAAGAAATAAACTGAACCAGTTGAAAAAAAAAAAGATTTTGAAATTATAGTTCTTATTTCTTGTGCAAGCAATGAAAGATCGATTTCGATTGCTTCAAGGGTTAGATTTTTTCAGCAGTGAACAACTTTGTGCTCCAATTTCTTTTTCCCTGTTAAAAACACTGTTAAGCATTCCTGTCTTCACAATCTAGATCTGCCTCACAGCAAGCTTTAAATACAGCAATGGTCACTCAACACGCCTGTGATTCTTATCTCATTAATTGTCGGCACTACACTGGAAACTGGTTTCCTTTAATATGTCCAGCTGTGTTTTGCTATCAGATAAAGTGAATTAATAATACTGAAGGCAATAAATAAAAACAAAAACAAATTAAAAATAAGTGGGGTGTTATTGATAAATTAAATGTGAAATGCATATTAATAAATGTGAAGAGATCAAGAAATCAAATTAATTCAAGAATAGAAAGATAATATAAATAGTAGATATCATGCCAATGTGATGAATTTAAAGTCTTCAGTCGGAAAAGCCCAAAGAATTGAAATATTAAACGTGCATACATGTATCAATGAAAGTCAGGTAGTTGAATTTCAAGAAAGGCTTAACCGAGAGAAATGATATATAAAATGTGCATATCAATTAAAGTTAAGTAGTTATATTTCAAGAGTGACTAAACCAAACGAAATGACATATAAAAATTAATGCTCATTTCAGTTAAAAGTCAAGAAGTTGAATTTCAAGAGTAGGGTAATCAAGAGAATTAAAATACTTTTTGTGCATATCGATGATCATAAAAGACAGGGGGTGAAATTTCAAGAGTGGCTAAATCAAGAGTATTGAAATATTAAATGTGAATGTAAATTTTGAAAGACAAGGAGTTGAATTTCAATAGTAACTAAATCAAGAAAATTGAATTAGGTAATATACATATAAATGAAGGTAAACGATATGAACTTTAAGGCTGGCTTAATCACGAGAATTGGAACATATTGATGTGCATTGAAAATGTAAAATTGTTTGTCAGTTTAAGAAAGCAGTGAAAATATTCAATGAGCATGTTAATGAAATAATTCAATTTGCGCTGTTTGTAGATAATAATTCCCTACTTGTAATACTTTTGTAGGTTTAGCCTATTTATTTGAGATATGTGTGTTTAAAGCTTTTTTTTTTTTTTTTTTTTTTTTTTTTTTTTTTTTTTTTTTTTTTGTCTATTTAGTACTTGTTTCAGTTCTGTAATATGCTTTTACAACAGTTGTACCATTTATCCTTATTTGGAACTTTTTAGTCACTTGATATACATGTATAATGTTTCTGTCAAATGATATCGAGTGCCCAAAAGCTGTTCTCGGTAGTTTTCATGATGATAGTCTGTGCTCTGTGACCATTTCGATGATTGTATCCTTTTAAATTAATATTTTGTAAAAATACAAATTACTTTACAATGCAAGCTACGTTGTCATTTTACGAAAAATCCCAAAATTAACTAGAATTATTTGTTTTCTATGTTTAAAGGTTCCATCTGTGATAAATTAATATACATTCCAGCAGATATTAAAAAATAAATAAATAAATATAAGTGTTGAAAATACATGATGGAAAAGGTGTAAATAAAATTATATAATTTTATTTCTCAAAGAAAACAAAAAGAAAAGATTTTAAAGTTATAGTTTTCATCATTGCATATAATATCACATAATCCAAATATGGATTAGAGACCTCAACTCATTTAAACATTATATAATCAATACCATCAACTCGTAGTAGTACTTTCAGTACTTTGATTATCTGTTTTTCATTGTAAGCTTTATTCACAATGCTTCTAGATCTGCATGTATTTCATTTTTATCGGACAGAAACCCGATGGCCCATCGTATTAAAGAATATATTGGTTTATATGATGAAATTGATTTCTTTTTACTACATTACACCACCCTACATTACCCTAGTATAGAGACGTCACCGAATGCCGGTGCAGGACTTCAAATTTAGATGAATACTTGGTACTCAGGACTGTTGAGAAGATTTTGTCAACGCCAACCGTGACAAGGGACATCGGTATCACCCAAAAGATTCATGACGTAAACTTCTCATGCCGGACGCTTATTTATGTTTACGGTTTGATGCGGCGTGGCGATCGAGAATTGAAAACGGGCCACCAGATCACAAGGCGAACGCCCAACCACTAGACTACCGTGCCCCGTTTATATTGGAAAAAATCTTATGCTGAAGAACTGCAGGGCCAATTTGTTTTTTTCAATGGATTTTTGCGCAATACCGGTATTACTGTTCATTATTGTTATCTTTCAATATCTTGATTTCAAAAAGTTATAAAGGTATGGGCAGCGGAAAGGGCAAAAATTACCATAATGAGAAAACAATTATAATAATTTCAATGACCATTAAAAGTTAAGAAATGACATTCAATGTATAATCAACAGACCTTTTCGCAAAACAAATATACATAGCAAAACCAACGAGCACGTACGTATATAACAAACATATATAAATGCAAAACGAACGGTCATCTTTGCAGAACAAACGTACATAAAAACAAGACAAACGATAACAAGATGCCCAGGGGCCACATCGCTCACCTGAGCACTATGGCTAGGAAAAAGCAGAAATCAGTTTAGTCTTGAAAGGTTGAAAAGTTTAAATAAAAAAGTGGTTCGGAGGGAGGGGGGGTCATGAATTGAACAAATTTGAATCTACATTATCTGAGGATGCTTCCATTTAAATATGACCAATCATGGCTTTGCTGTTCTTGAGTAGAAGATTTTTAAAGATTTAACCTATGTATTCCTATGTAAAACTTTGATCGCCCATTGTGGCCCCACCCGACCCCCGGGGGTCATGATTTTAATAAACTTGAATCTACACTATCTGAGGATGCTTCCATATAAATATGACCAATCATGGCTTTGCTGTTCTTGAGAAGAAGATTTTTAAAGATTTTTCCTATATATTCCTATGTAAAACTTTGATCGCCCATTGTGGCCCCACCCGATCCCCAGGGGTCATGATTTGAACAAATTTGAATCTACACTACCTGAGGATGCTTCCACATAAGTTTCATATTTTCAAGCACAGTGGTTCTTGAGAAGAAGATTTTTTAATCATGCCATTAATTTTTCACGAATTCTTAATTATCTCCCCTTGGAAGAAGGCGTGGCCCTTCATTTGAACAAACTTGAATCCCCTTCACCCAAGCTTAAGGATACTTTGTGGCAAGTTTGGTTGAAATTGGCCCAGTGGTTCTTGAGAAGAAGATGAAAATGTGAAAAGTTTACAACAACGACGACAGACAACGGACCAATTTTGATCAGAAAAGCTCACTTGAGCCTTTGGCTCAGGTGAGCTAAAACCTTAACAAACGGACGCTGGGTGGCGCTGCAGGTTTTTTTAGTCAGTTCGTACCCTGATCGACTCGTAATGAAGTCAACTATCTCCATCAATTCTTGTTGCGAATGGACTCTCTCTTGAAATTATAAATAATTGATGATAATTTAATAACTTAATCAAAGCTAACAGGTACATGTAGACCAATCCGGCGAGCGACACAATATTACACGCAGTTCGTGGACATGATAATTTTACTGTTGAATTTTTAAATTTGTATTTTCAAATTATGCATTGGCAATGACAGTTTTGAAGAAAATTCCCTTTTTAGCTCACCTGAGCCAAAGGCTCAAGTGAGCTTTTCTGATCAAAATTTGTCCGTTGTCTGTCGTCGTTGTCGTCGTTGTCGTTGTTGTTGTTGTTGTAAACTTTTCACATTTTCATCTTCTTCTCAAGAACCACTGGGCCAATTTCAACCAAACTTGCCATAAAGTATCCTTGGGTGAAGGGGTTTCAAGTTTGTTCAAATGAAGGGCCACGCCCTCTTTTAAGGGGAGATAATTAAGAATTAGTGAAAAAAATAAATGCATCATTTAAAAATCTTCTTCTCAAGAACCATAGGGCCAGGAAAGATGAAACTCATGTGGAAGCATCTTCAGGTAGTGTACATTCAAGTTTCTTCAAACCATGACCCCTGGGGGTAGGGCGGGGCCACAATGGAGAATCAAAGTTTTACATAGAAATATATAGGAAAAATCTTCTTCTCAGGAACAGCAAAGCCCAGATTGTTCATATTTATATGGAAGCATCCTCAGGTAGGGTAGATTCAAATTTATTCAGATCATGACCCCCGGGGGTAGGATGGGGCCACAATGGAGGATCAAAGTTTTACATAGAAATGTATAGGAAAAATTTTAAAAATCTTCTTCTCAGGAACAGGAAAGCCCTGATTGATCATATTTATGTGGAAGCATCCTCAGGTAGTGTAGATTCTATTTTGTTCAAAGCATGACCCCTGTGGGTAGGATGGGACCACAATGGAGGATCAAAGTCTTAAATAGAAATATATAGGAAAATATCTTCTTCTGAAGAACTGCAAACCATGATTAGTCATTTTGATATGGAAGCATCATAGTATCATCAGCAGCAGCATCAGGTAGTGTAGATAAAATTTTGTTCAAATGATGACCCCCAGGGGTTGGGTGGATCGAAAGTTTTACATAAGAACATATAGAAAAAATATTTCTTCTCAAGAACAGGAAAGCTATGTTTAGTCATATTGATATGGAAGCATCCTCAGGTAGTGTAGATTCAAGTTCAAATGATGACCCCTGGGATAGGGAGGAACCACAATGGGGGATCAAAGTTTTACAAAGGAATATATGGGAAAATTTTTTTTAAATCTTCTCAAGTACAACAAAGCCATTTGTTATATTGACATGGAAGCATCATCAGGTAGTTTAAAATTCACCCCCCCCCCCCCCCCCGGGCAATCGTTTCAATACTGAACTGATTTGTGCTTTTGCCTAGCCAATGTGCTCAGGTGAGCGATGTGGCCCACGGGCCTCTTGTTTATACATATGATCATATGAAATACATGTAGTTTTGTTTTAAAGAGTCAGTTTTTGCAGACCATTAGATGTTACCCATTAAAAAGCACGAAATCTGTTACTTTTTGATACGTAGTAAAAACCAATGTGAAAAATTGAACACCTTTTTTCTGTTACTCCAAATTGTTCGTATTACGTATCTGCTACAATTTCATCTGATTGCTAATTGGTATCTTGTTTTTATCAAGTTTTTGATATACATATAGATAGATATTTATAAGCAAACACATAGCATCGATTTTCAAGTTTTGCATTTGTGTGATGTGTTGGGGGGGGGGGGGGGGGGGATAATAATTATTTCAAGGTGTTAGGGGAGGGGGAAATAATTGACAAGCAAGTAATAAAGGGAGAATAGAAATAAAGGAGATTCAATTATACTGCGACAAACAGAAGGAGCTAGGATGAAAAATAATTTAAACAATTGCACGAGAATTTGAAAACTTATTTTACACCAAAATGGGGACGCAGATCGCCTTTCCCATTCGAGGGCTACAGACCTGCTGGTTAAAAACATATAACTTATGCCATTTTGAGCATATAATGGAAATTCTATATAGTAAAAAGCCGTAACATTGCATCTATCACTGCATGAAAATTTGGCTTTACAAAACAAGTAAAGATAATGTAAATTTAATATTTACAATGCCTTTAATTGGCTTTTCTGAAAAAAGTCAAAGTTGGAAAAGGTAACCTTTACATTAACTTTACATGCACTTAAATATGATGTAATGTCCCACTTTTTCTTGACTTTACAAAAAAGTAAAGTTAATATTTACAAACAATAAACACAGTATTTGGGGTACATTAAATCTGATAATTACAAATATTAAATTTAATTAAATACCATCTTTAATAGCCACAAAAGTTAATAATTACTGTTTTCCATTCTTCTGAATAAAGCTTGTGCATATGATAAATAAGCTTTTCCTTCCTTAATATACTAAGTAACAACAAATTGAATTAAACTTTGTTTATTACTATACCAAACATTTTTATACAAACATATAATCAAAAACATCAAATTTCGTGACAGTATCTGTTGTTCATAGTCTATCCTGCAAATCCCATACACATAAATAAGTATCCAGGACAGAGTACATTTCACCAAAATCCTTTTCAAACATGTCATTTTGTTTTATAAAGAACCAATTGTTCATCCTTGAATTTAAAGATTTGAACTGACATGAAACTGTGCTCCGCTTTCTTGTTACTGGACATGTGTTTCTGTGGAAATCAACAACTGTCCAAATATATATTTTGTCACATCTTCCTTTTCAGAGTCCAAAACTTTTATTCTCATGCAGGCAGTCTTCTACTATTTTCCTTAAAAGAAAAAAAAAATATATTTTCAGTGACATGAATATGAATATTTTCATAGGCATCTGTGTTATAAATTCAAATAAACTGTGATATCAGTATTCACAGTATCATGACTAATCAAAATTGAAACAAGATGCAACCACATTAATAGATAAAAATTTCATACATGACCTTTAACCTCAAAAAGAAAATATTTTGAACCATTAATGTCAGCCTTTATTTTTACCAAAAAGACAATGTTAATCTTATTAAATAAGACAGATACAAACAGATGAACATGTTGTTATTAACTTATTTTATGATATAAATGGACTGGGCCTCTAGCCCTTATCTTACCCCTAAGATTAATATTTAATAACTGTAATTTCTTTGTTTATCATTACCTAATTTTTCTTTTGAAAGGATTATTTACAAAATATACTAATGCAGGAGTAATATAAGATTTCTCATGACCTTCTGTAGCTAAAATACTTTTGCAGAATTGGAAAATGGTTGTCTTACTTGCAAGATAATTTGTGAAAAAGTACTGGCATCAGTATCTATGCATAATTTCTGAACACATATAATTAACTCCATTTTCCTTCTTAGTAATCAGGTAACAAAAGGACCAATAGTTGCTGCTTATTCAGCTATAGTATGATACTCAAGTTATGGTTTATGATATATGTACCTTTCTCCCAGTAGCATGTTGCTGCTCATGAATTATTTCCTGATCTTGGAATTGTAAATTTGAGAGGTCCCTCATTTTGAAGATAACATGCTAAAATGGAATTCATACTTTGATAAACATTTCATACATCTGGAGAAATATAGTCAATGTTTTCATAAATACATTTGAGTTTGAAGCATGCCAAAGAATGATTTTAAAAATACACAATACAATCACAGTCAATAGTTATGAATTGCCGAACACCCTTACGTTTGTTTTCTTCACAATTAAAGAATACTTTAGGTCCAAGCAATACTTGCCATCTATAAAATTAAACTATTGAACCCTTCTCAAGTGTTTCTTCTTCATGAAAGATCTGTCAATAAGGTGTTAACTCTCTCACAGTAAGCTGAGTAGCTGGAGCCTGGAAAAAGTCATAACACATTTTTTGAAAACAGAAATGTATAATTATACTGACTCCTAAACAAGTCAAGTAATTGATAATGTAAATAATTGTTTAAGTAACATTTTTATGATACTATTTATTGATTTTTTTTAAAAAACTAATACGTACAAGTACTGTCAAAAAACATTGGTATCCCTTGGTCTGGTAAATCATACATTGTTGTCATCCATGACTTTCTTCAAGAACCTGCATAATTGATTTCACTGTACCTGTTTTTGAAAAATGGACATGGTTTAGAATACAAAATTATATCTATAAAATATAAACTAACTTGCCCTCTATTAAGAACATTGTCCCTACCCTGGCTTCTATTTTTTTTCTAGCACTAATGTAAACAGGTAAACTGCTAAACATTCTAAAACTGTGACCTAGAATTGTTTTTCTTGGTCTTGTTTAATCCACGATCCTTTACAGAAAAAAATGGAACATCATCCCCAATTTATCAAGTAACTTATCTAAAATACATATTTAGCGTAGTTTTTCCTGACTTTCATCTGTTTCAATGTTCCACAATGTATGCTGAAAACAGATGGAAAACGTAAACAAACCTGCAGTGCATGCCAGCCCCGGAGCTCGAGCAGTTTTCCAAGCAATAACCTCCTTAATTCTACCGGTAGATGAAAAGGTATCAAGTCAACTGATCACTGGTTGCATATTTTCGTCAAAAATACCAGAAAATCCGATGAGACCCGCTCAACTTAATTTGAAATGATTGGCTATTCAACCGAATACACAGTGCCATATTTGGGTTACTATTAAAAGTAGATCGTTCTTTTTGTATTCGAGAAGACTTGGATGAAGAGGATTACACAATACTGAGGTGGAAACATCTGTATAATACGATAATATATAATTCAGTATTTTAAAGTAAAGGTTGTCAAATGAACGGGACATATTACTGATATTACCTCTTATAAACAAAACTAATAAGCGTATGACTTATTCAGGGCACTTGCAATGTATGGGAACCAGTCTACAAGGCTACAAAATTCCGCCAAGAATAAACAAAGACTGAAAGAGATTGCGGGATGTTGTTTACGTGTGTCACTCGACACTGACTGCAAGGTAATGAAAATGTGCTTATTTGTTGTGTATAACTGTTTTCTGTCTTTCAAGATATTGAACAAGAGTCGTTTAACATTTCAGACGAAACATCTAGGGGAGGGAGGGAAGAAGAGGGGTCACCTCTTAATTTGTTGCATCTACTACCACTGTGTATCAGTGTCAGGATATAATAAATTAAAATGAAAAAATATCATCATAATAAAAATTTTGTTATAGATTTAGGACAGCTAAATAAAGGGGCGACTATTTTTTGTTTGATGCGGGGAGGGGGGGGGGTTAAAGATATATTAACCTCAAAAATGTAAAAATGTTTAAAAGATATAATCTCATCTCAACTGAAAAAATGAATAATAATCTTTCCTTGTCTGATTCCATTATTGCCTTTTCCTCACTGCAATAAGAGTTTCTGAGTCAGTTTATTTTTTTCCTTTTGTAGTGGCAATGGGGGGGGGGGGGGGTCAAACTTTGTTCATTACAGATGAACATGAATAATCTGTCCCTGATTTTTAAGGAAATCAAATATTCTGTTCATCACTGGCTGGAAAATAATTAATCTGACTTAGCTGTCAAAAAATTACCTTTTCATAATTTATCTTTTGTAGAAACAAAGAGTGGAGAACTAATGCATGGTGCTAAGTATGGAGAGGTCTCTTGTGGATTGGTTGTGCCAGAGACAAATGTACATTATTTCCATGTTGGGTAATGTCCTTAAGAATGGAAGTTTTTTTTCAAATATAAGGGACATGACTTTTTCATGTTATCATTGTACAGAGATCAAAATATTTTTAAACATAGTCAGATACTCACTACATTATTCCATCTTTAGAAAAGTATTTAAAATTATTTTCTCACATTTTTTAGAGACCAATATAGTGAAGAGATTTTTTTTTTATTTTAATCTTGAATTTGGGTATTATACAGGTCAGAAGTCTCGGTACACTTTGGGTGAGTGGCAGTTGGGAAGATGGATGACCTTCAGATAGTTTGAGATGAAGAAGTTTTTTTCAAATGATTGAAAGTGATCATCACAGAATCAACTCCATTTTGAAGATAAATTACAAGCAAGTCAGGTGAGGAGTTGACTTCAATGTTTATCACATTGTGTAAATGAATCTTCATTATTAAGATCTTTTACATCTTATTTTTATATTTGAACTCACTTTTCTATTATTCTAAACTTCCAAAAATAAAATTAAAGTAGTTAAAGCATGCTACAAACATTTTAGGTATCTTGGCAAATTTTCAAGGATATTGCAGATGTGCTTTAATTTCAAAAGATAACTAATTAATGCAAACCTGGAAAAGAAATGGATGTTATTCTCTATAATTTCGGAGATTATGTTTTTTATTAGCACTCCTTTTGTCCAACACCTGAGAGATCTGAGTACCCAGCCTACTGTTGAATTAATTAGTGACCAAGAAAAGATGACAGAGAGGGGAATCAAATGTGGATGCCATCTTGATCAAGAATATATACACTGACTAGAAAATATCTGAAAATATATAGATGAACATTCAAGCATTTATAATAATGAAAGTTATTCAGCAAGAGAGTTTTTGCACAAGTTTAATTTTCAGTAAAATTATGTATATTGTGCACTGAGGAACTTAGTATGTAACTCATTATGATTATCCATTTCTTTAGAGGATTTATTTGGAGTATACTTAAATAATCATTATCTTCTAGAAAAGACAGCACAAAACTTTTCTCTCTGTGTGAAACATGACACGTTTGCATACACTCCAGCATTTACCACAACCACAGTTACATATTTTCCAGGGCGTGTGAAGTCGAGCACATACATGAAAATGTGTGAAGCTGGACACATATGCACACACACAAGCATCTATCACAACCAATTACATATTTTCCAAGGTGTGTGAAGTCGAGCACATACATGAAAATGTGTGAAGCTGGACACATATGCAAACACACAAGCATCTATCACAACCAATTACATATTTTCCAGGGCGTGTGAAGTCGAGCACATACATGAAAATGTGTGAAGCTGGACACATATGCAAACACACAAGCATCTATCACAACCAATTACATATTTTCCAAGGCGTGTGAAGTCGAGCACATACATGAAAATGTGTGAAGCTGGACACATATGCAAACACACAAGCATCTATCACAACCAATTACATATTTTCCAAGGCGTGTGAAGTCGAGCACATATGTGAAAATGTGTGAAGCTGGACACATATGCAAACACACAAGCATCTATCACAACCAATTACATATTTTCCAAGGCGTGTGAAGTCGAGCACATACATGAAAATGTGTGAAGCTGGACACATATGCAAACACACAAGCATCTATCACAACCAATTACATATTTTCCAGGGCGTGTGAAGTCGAGCACATACGTGAAAATGTGTGAAGCTGGACACATATGCAAACACACAAGCATCTATCACAACCAATTACATATTTTCCAAGGCGTGTGAAGTCGAGCACATACATGAAAATGTGTGAAGCTGGACACATATGCAAACACTCAAGCATCTACCACAACTAGTTACATATTTTCCAAGGCGTGTGAAGATGAACACGTATGCAAACATAATCTCCTACCACAGACACAATACACGTAACATTTAGTCCAAGTATAAAGTCAAGCTCAAACAGGCTCACTGCGTCAAGCTGGACATACGCATTTACTTATTCATCTTGCAAAACTACATCTGAACCTATATTCTAATAGGCGTTTAAGCAATTTTGTTTATTTTGTGAATATGTAAATTGCACCATTATGCTTACAAGATGTCAACATTATTAACCTGTACATAAATACTCATTAGATAGCCTTTAATAGTTTAAGCTGGAAATGCTAGTACTTTGCCTGATTTATGTTGTGTAGTTACTCGTCAGTGATCTTGAGTAATAACTGAGTATGGCATTTTTAGTTCCATTTAAACTGCAAAGTTTTAACACATGTACATCCACCATAAAGGATAAATAATATTGTATTGTATTTTAACCTTTTTAATTTTATTCTTTGTCATTTTATTGCCTGTTCAAGTAAAAGATGTAATCTTGTAATGTTTGTAACTGTTTTTGGTAGATATTTATGAAGCAGAAATTATAACAGAAAAGGTTTCAATATATCTACACTAAAAGCAAATAAAAAAGAGTTCTCCATCTATCAGATATCAGCGTCATAGGGAATTTTAAAGTTTATTATATCTATATTCTGATATCTGATACCATTTTTACATTTTTGATTGTCCATCTATAGTATACAAAAATAGTATAATTTTTATATTTTATAGATGACAATCTCTAATACTAAATACAACTGGAAATTGATATAACGCTTGAAAATTTGTGCATTTTTAGTAAGATCGAGTTTAACAAAAATGACCTGGGGGTATCACAATAGACACACCAGGCACCTATTTATTTTAAAAGTCAAAAACCATTTGTTGAAATCTTTAAGTAGAGTGTATTAAACAAAGGCCAGTATTTAAATAAGGATTTAAAAAAGTTTCATATATATATATATCTCAACTTTAATGCAGCATTAAAGGTGAAAGGTTAAATTTAATTACCTTTTCGTTTAAGTAAAGGTTACCTTTTCACCTTTACTTTTTGTAAAGTTAATACAAAGATGACCTTGCTTTTTTGAGCACCTTTAAAGAGATTTACTTGGCAAGTAAAGTTTTGTAAAGGTGTTTTTTCAAGCAGTGTATATGTTAAAGTTTACACATTTTAATAAGCCTCTTGTAGTACATTACACCAGGAAACTCGTTGCCTTACATATAAAGCATGCAAGGCACTCAGTCAAAATACTGATTTCCTTGTAAACTGCTTTTCCTAACAATTAAGGAGGGATTCTCGTCTGGTTTCTGACTAGATGAAACATCCAAAGTATATTTGCTTATATGTCTTATATATTTAGATTTAAGAGATTTAGAAGATCATATTTTTCTTTCCTCATCATTATTGTACAATTTTAAATAAAAATGGTAAACTGAGTTTGAAATCTAGCAGGGACTATAATTTTGGCGGAACGGCGGCGTATGAAAATATCTCCTTTTCTGCTTTTCAAAATTATTATAGAACAATGAATTTAGTTAAAATTTCTAAACAATCAAAGACTACAAGATAATTTCAAATGTAAGTAAAATTAATAATAATGGACTGAAGTTTTAAAATATATCAAATAAATATGATTTTCCAAACAAACTACAATTTTGTTAATTTTTAAAAGCTTCCGATCTAAGTACAGATTTGAGCCAAAAATCCGTAAAAAGTGTTTTTTCTTTCTTAGTAAACGGTCAAAAGTTTTTGTTTTTGTATTGATTTGTACCTTTATATGACTACTTTACCAATTGTGAAAATAAGAAAAATTTAAATATACGAAGCATATAAAAATAACTATTATATCCTAAAAATCTAAGAAAAATAGAGGAAATTCGGATTAGCCAATATCCATTTTAGTTAAATTATCCAGGGACCTATATACTAATATATATATATGTATATAGGTCCCTGAATTATCTTTGTCAATTTGGTAATATCATCTGATAGACCCTATATGGTAATATCTTTTTATGCAAAAAGAAAAACATTTAATCTTTTGAAATAGAAGTAGGCATCGCATGATTGGCAACGGTATTTTTTTTATTCTTAAGGTCAAAGAAAAAGATAATGACCTTGACCTGACCTTGCTTTTAAAATAAAAAGGTCAAATTTAATCTAGTTGATACCATCACTTAATGATAATGTCTTCTTGAATCTATGAAAATTTCATTAATTTTTAAATACAAGAAATATGAGAAGAATCCCTCCTTAAGGAATTTCTAATTGAATTATAGCTATAATTACAAACATAAACCAGGGTTTTGTTTTACAGCAATATTAGGGTCTGGATGTGTGCAAGTATGTGTGTGGGGGGGGGGGAGGAGGGGGCTTAACAAGCTGATATTTTCCTCGTATTTTTCTTTAAACTTCCTAACCAATAAAAATTTCAATGTAGCACCCTTCTTTTGTCGTAAATCTCTTTCATCTGATTGATTAAGCAGTACTACATGATTTATTCAACAACATAGATAAACTGTAAATGCAAAGATTTACACACAGTACATGCACATACATGTAAGAAAAATATTGAATAATTTGAATGCAGTGAGTGACGGCCCCGATTACATGTAAATGTACATATGTATCAAGGGGGGGGGGGGGTATTACTTCTTACAAACAAGCCGCTTTCCTTAGTATAAAATCTTGTCATCAATACTTGTATATAAAATCTTGCTATCTTAACCCTACAACTGAATGAGAAATGTCATATTTCCCAGTAGGTATGAAGACCTTTTAATAACTCTGAAATTCATATAGCAAAGTTTAAGTGGCGGGAACCCCCCACCCCCCACGCTGGAACCGCAACCGTAATATCTACTTGTCATCTTATATTAAAGATGAATTATTCTCTAATTATCTAAATATTGAATTAGTCCAGTTACTTATTATTATCAGTAAGATTATAAAAGGGTGTTAACTCGATACAAGAATTTTGGATGAAGTTGACTTCATTACGAGTCGGTCAGGGTACGAACTGACTAAAAAAAAACCTCCAGGTGGCAGGGGATAGTTTCGTACTAAAGACCCGGTCAAATTTCTTAAAAAATTGAGATATCCCCTGTTTGATGTGATATTTTATGTAGAAAAATGATTAGAATAATTATGGGACACATTTGCAGTGTAGCAGAGTGCTTGCTGAAAAAAATGATGTGCAACATGTAGGTGTCACTATGACGCTTATCATATACAGAGTTGTAAATGCGAAACTAAGACACGTGGTCAGTTGCAGAGGAAATTCAGCTGAAAAGCAGTAGGCCTTAGAAGAAGGTGTGTATCTCAGAGGGAAGGTGAATGACCCCATATCAATTGGTGAATTTTTATTAGGGCTTGCATTGATTTACAGACTACTGGGTGTTTTATCCTGCTCGCTCGGGCCCGGGGGTGGGTTGTATGGGTGTGAATGAGGCCCAAATCTTGGAAAAACAAGCCAAAATTTGGGGAGTCCCCAGGTGCATTTTTGGTACATGTGCACTCTAATACGCAGATTACATGTAATTTGTTGACATAATTTGTGAGCCATGGGCATATGAAGTGTAATTAATTAGCCCCTGGAAAACTGTCCCCATGTACATGTTTTTATGGATCGCATGTATATGTGTACCCTCTCGGCACATGTTTGGCATTAAAAAAAACTATCCCCTGCTACCTTCAAGAAAACACCAATTTTCAGAAATATGTAATTTAGTCTAATTCTTCTCTAAATAAGTTTATTGATGTATGCCATTTTCAAAACTCACCATATTTCTTTCATTTGACTCTTATTCATTTAGGTAGAGAGACCTAAACACAAGGGGGGTAAACCTTTTCCAGTACACATTTTCAAAGAGTTTGAAGCATCAGCATAACAAATCTTAACAGAGTAAGGCAATTTTTTTCTGAGAAAAATTTACTTGCTTGAAAATAATAGTTTGGGCACTGTCACATATATTTTATCAAATTTTGATTCAATTACTTAGTATTAATTAAAATTAAAGGGGCTTAATTATTGCGATATCACTGAAATTACATAAATTTACTCTTTTTTACATGTGTTTCACTAAATATCATTATTTAGAAAAAAAGAATGAGTCAGTATGCAAAAATATCAGTTTACAGAACC